AAAAAAGACGCCAGAAGATGAAAGATTTATGCCTTCCTATTTAAATTCATGGCTCATACACAAGAGTGGGTGTGCAGCTCGAACTAAGAGCCCGAGTATTTAATGCCGTCCGACAAAGTTACACAGAGTAGTAAACAACTAGTCATCACCTCTCGGGCTAAAACGTTTTGTGTGCCGCCGCCTGATACGAAAACCCAAAAAACCCAATGGGAAAAATGGGAACGTATTCCACATCCAAATGCAGGCGCACCGACCTCTGGGGGTTAGAGGTAAAACAGCTTAATTACATCCAAGATAAAATTTAACATAAAACTAGAAAAGTTCGAGAGCTGAGATGAATACATTACAAATGTCATACTTAAATACGCCATACAACAAAAGACTCAATTAAGGCCCAAGCGGCCCACGTGCTAACATACCAATAGGAAAATATTTACATTCTTTGTCACTGCCACTTACAGTTTAGCTCCGCCGAATGTAAACAGATTTCTTTATTGTTATTATCATTACAACTTAAAATTTCATGTTTTTTGTTTTTAAATTTCTTTCAATTTTTTTACTAGCCAGCGGGCTATTAAACGTGGTTTTTATTAGCCCGACCAAATTTTTACTAGCCTCTGGCTACCGTGCTAGCGGAGATGTCGAACCCTGCATTATATGGTAGGGTGTTAAGACTTGGACGGTCTACAGGGTGCAGGTACAGATACTTCACGCCTACATGATGAGAGGAAAGTGAACGACAGAGCTGCGTGGAGGAATTTGACTCGGGCCTAAATGAAATAGTCACTGTCGCCCCTGACAGACTACTATGATGATGATAATGACTTCATATGCAAGTAAGTCCGCACATGAAAACTGGGATAATTTCGTAAATGTCCCTTTTAGTAATTTTTAACTTAACCACTCGATATTCACTTTAATGCGTCAAGATTTCTTTTATTTTCATGTCAGAAATACACGATCACTCCTCAGACAAACAAGTTTGTGTAAGAGCCATGACGAAAAGTTCATCAAAAGTCGGCGATAGCTAAATAAGTCATCCTGTCTAATCTGTATTGATAAGCGAATAGTTGAAGATTCAGCGCGCTTTTAGCGAGATCTGAAGCACACAGGAAGTTAGGAAAGCACGAAAGTTGCGTTAGAGTTTCTCGAACCACAGCTGGAGGCAACTCTAGCTTATTTTGTACTCTCTAAACTTCCCAACTCAGTGCCTTATATCTCTATGAAAGCACAATAAACACATATAATAATTGTTTGACTATCAGGAGCTTCTTAAATTGGTGATCATTTCCTTTATTTTCATGACCTTCATATCTGATTTAAGGGTAAAACTGAATAAGGGTAAGGATAAAATTAGGCCAGTCGCTCTAAGGGCTAAAGCTATTGAATGAAAGTTTTCTTTACTATACATACTTCCAATTAAGTTTATCATCTTCTTTGGATCATTAATTTTCCCACGATAAAGGGCTATTATAACGAGCTCTATGATTGGTTCAAAAAGAGAGTGCTTCGTGGAAATATAAACACAATTGGTCA